TAAACAGGAATGGAAACCGGCCAGAAATGCTCAAAAAGTACGGTTTTTCACACGGTAATCATGAATAGTCACTGAAATTTTAATTATTCTTTTCTCTTCCTCAAATGTAAGGTGTGCTTTTGAAAAGCTTACTTTACACATTATCCATTTATTGGTGGAATATCTAAAAAGTCAAATTAGAAATAGACCGGAAACTTTAAAAAAAAAAAAAAAAAAAAAAAAAAAAAAAAAAAAAAAAAAAAAAAAAAAAANAAAAAAAAAAAAAAAAAAGCTGATAATAGATGTTGAATAAGTGGAGTTGATTTGAATCGATGATTTGATTTAAAGGAGCTGATACTATCATAATAAAAATCGCCGATTATGAACTTGACGAAAAATATGGGTGAACCGGGAAAAAATATCAACATTTAAAGTGTTCATTATCGAGATATTTGGATTAATAGGTAAAAAGTCGTCTTTTTCTACCAATTTTTGACCGTTTTTGGCCCATTTGAATTTCTGTAGGCCCCTCGCCGTCCGATGGCAATTGAAAAAATTAACCTCCGGCCAATTTATGCGCGGCCCAAGCGCCGCGTACCGGCGCTTCGCGCCGGCATGTGGGGGGGGGGCTTCGTCCCCCCATCATGGTGCAAAGATCGCACAAGACTTTCTCGCTTTTGCCGGCGCTCCGCGCCGGCACAGACACTTTTACTGGAATATTCAGAAAAATACTGCCAATTTCATAAAATCATAAAGTTTGATTGGAATTTTGATCGCAGGATAATAGTTATGACATTTTTATTCAAACCACTGCACTTTATTGTAAATGTCTTCGACATATGTGATGAATTCGTACATTCGGACTCGACTTGTCGATATTATGAGGCATCTTCAATAAAATATGTAATTCATTAATGATGCCTCCTATCAAAGACGGCGATCCGTAAAAATCTTAGCTTTTCTACAATTCATTAGGATCCATTAGATTCATTGGCATCATACTTCAGATATGATTATATATTATAATTTTTCCTTAAGCCCGGTCAAAAGCCATCAAAAATCTACTTTAATGGGTAGAATGACTATTCGATGTTTAAATAGTCGTAAAACTAAACGGTTTTCGCTTACCATCGCCCAAATTTTAAATTTGGCGGGCAAATCTCCCTGCTGGCAATGGTATAGAAGGTTAGAGGCCCTACTGGATAGGGAAGAATTGAAACTGAAGTTGAGCCGCGAGCAAGCAGTTGCACGAGAGTGCGCGACGAGCGGGATTCCCATACCTCTGCGCAGATCGGCCAAGCGAGAGTTGCGGACGGACGATGTATAAAAAATTGCCTACGTGGAGGTGGTCCGGCAGCAACATACCCGCTGCTAGTCACTGGAGAAAAATAGAAAATAGTAGTTGCGTACATTGCCAGCGAGCGCGCTGAGAGCGCTTCTGTTTCAATTTCTTAGCATTGAGTCGGGCCTCTAACCTTCTATACCCTCTGCAACAAAAACGTCAACCAATCTAGACAGGTTATAACGCGCTTTATTATCAATCATTAAATCAATCATGTTTGTGCAGAATTATCATGTTATATTTGTATTCAGTACCTCGTAAAAAGGAACCGCGAAAGATGGAATCTGCCGGGATTCTAAATTCATTAACAACAAACATATTAGTCTCTAATAAAGATCTATGTGTCAGTTCTTGCGTTAGCTTCAATGATTCATAGTATGTAATGTAAGTACCTAATTGGTTGTCTAATTTTGATTGGTGATACCTACGGAGTAATTTTGGAGATAGTATATGATGCATTATATAATGCATTTGAATTCCTAGGTTTCACCTGACTCAAAGCGTTTGCTGCTAATATCCTGAAGCGTTCCGACTCATTTTGGAGAATTGAGCGTTTCCTATCGGCCCCTCTGCAATTATGAGATTAGTCCAAAGATTCTTTAGGAACTTAAATTAATGACTCAGGTGGTGCTTTTGAGCCAACTTTCCAAGAATTAAAGGCATTTTTCAAAATTTACCGTCCATGAGCTCTCCATGTGACCGAAGTGCTCTCCTCGCTATATGACGCTTAACCCTTCAATTTTTAGTTTAGTCCAAAGACCTCACAGGAACTTAAATTAATGAACCAGGTGGTGCTCTTATGCTAACTTTCGAAGAATTAAAGGCATTTTTTCTAAAATTTACAGTCCTTGAAAATGAGCTGTTTGTGATGTCGCGGAGCAAAGTGCCCTACTTTTGGGCCTCGTAATCCCTTGAATTTTGAGTTTAGTCCAAAGATCTTTTAGGAACTTAAATTAATGACTCAGGTGATGTGCTTGATGCCCACTTTTAAAGAATTAAAGGCATTTTTCAAAATTTACGGTCCCTCAAAATGAGCTTTCCGTGTGATTTTGCTAAAAATGGATAATTCAGCCTAGCCCCCCCAAATTTTAGCGTACCCCAAAATCGTTTGACGTGCACAAGGAGACCATAGATATGGTGTTCTGTGAATATTTTGAATGAAATCGAACAGATAGATTCTGAGATATCGCCGTAGACAGATTTGGGGGACGCCACACGGACGGACACACATTTTTTCAAGTATGGTTATTTTGACTCCTGGGACCTTAAAACGTCTAGAAATGATGAAATTTCAACTTTTTTTTTCTTTCTTTCTTGGAGGATGACAATACTTCCTCTCTACCCTAGGGGAGCGAGAAAGTAAAAAGAATAAACCGAAAATATATATCTTAAGCTTGAAGTATCAAAGAAAAAATTGAAAATCGGAGAGATTGTTTTTTTTAGATAATTCGGTTTGAACCTTGAATGGTGAAAAAATAGTCAATTTTAAAAAACCCTAAATTACAGTCATTTAAATAATTTTGACCTCAATTTCAATGGCAGATTTAGAATAAAAAATTCGATAGAAAAAAAATTCCGTTAAAAAATTCGTTTAGAAACATCTTTTAAAAGTTTGTTGGATCAATATAGAGTCCCACCATGGACAGTCAAAGAGAGGGAAGTCGAGAAACTGAGAAACACTAGAGCGGGCTTACTCGCATATCGCTGAAATTCACCCCATCCTTAGGGATCCATATCTCGCGAACGGAGCGTCGGATGGGAAACCCCTAGAACAAGTTTCTTTGAGTGATGTAAGGACCTCGCACACTAACTTTTTAGAAAAACTGAATTGAAAAAAATTAAATAGATCCAAACTTAATGTCTTTTTTAAAAATGTCGAAATAAAGATTCAGAGAAGACTTTCCTTTATGTCGATTTGCCGGGAAAGGCAAATCGGATACATAATAATGTTGAAGAGCGGGGGGTGCAATATTGTCACGTTAAGAAAAATTCAATCAACAATGGATAAATATTCGGGGAGTAAGGAATTTTATCTCAGCAAAATTAATAGGTACTTTCTAGGATTGGAAAGAGCATTTTTATAGATAAAACTGAGGAACGGGAAACTTTTCTAAAACTCTCCAAAAGTAGGGGTAACCAAACTTTTTTCGAAACGGTCAGCCTCAAAAATATCCATAGAAGCTACTTAAGTGCATCTCTGTAGATGTCAAAGTGCTTAGCACGTGTTAAGGCTGCAACTATAGGTGTTTTTTTAAAGCAAAAAATTGAGTATTTCTGGGGCAAACACATAGTCACGTAAAAAATTCAAATTTGGTCGAAAAAGCAGGTGGAAGCAAACATTTCTGGTTCAATTGCCTTCCTAAAGATCTGCAGAAACGACTTAAAAGTAACTCTAAAGGTGCCAAATGTCTCAGAATATTTTTCGAGGGGCTTTCCAGGTTTGTTATATAGTATTTTGAAGGAAACACGCAGGTACGAAAAAGATTCAAAATCCGTCCAAAAAGCAAGAAGAACCAACAATTTTTGGTTTAAAATCCTTCTTAAGGACTCATAGAGACTATTTAAGCACGTTTTTGGTGGTATCGCATGCCTCAAAAAAGTTTAAGACGACTGCAGATTGATTAATGGCTAAACTGGTCAAATAACGTTATTTTAGCCCCAGACTTAGAACCGAACAAATTCGATTTCTCGAGAAAAAGCAAACCAAAGCACAAAATATTTCTACTGTAGCTTCCCAAGGATGTTTAGAAGGTACCTAAAGGTGTCTCCTTAGGTGACCTTCGGTGACTTTTTTTTAAATTAAAGTACGTGGGAAAAATCGGCATTTTTTGATGAGAAATAGGTATCCAACTTCTACCTTGTGTATAATGTATTAGAATTCCTCGGGGAAAAATTGTAATTAGTGCGTTACAATCCTCTTAGAGTCCTCTACAAAATGGTATTAGCAAGAATTCTAAGACACCATTTCATGATTCAGGAGAGGCTCCGAACGCTTTCTTAGAAATAGCCACTTCACAGGTCAGAAAATACATATCCGACTACTTGCACAGTTTGTGACACTTTCAAAGTGACTAAATTTTTTTTTTGAGGCATACTAAGTGTAGTTTATGACCCATAGATACTATATTTATCAATTTTGACTCGAAAAAAAAATGTCGTCCAACTTCATAAATATCGATTTTTGAGCACTCTCGAGAGGGTTGGGACCATAGTGAGCCAGCATCAAACCTCAGCATCAGCGCTTACCGGCATTGGGCTTCAATGCCTGAAGCCGGCGCCGGCAGGTTGCGCGCATTAGGCGCGGCGCCGCATGCCCGCACGGCCGCTACCTGGGCATACGGCATTAATGCTGAAGCTACGAGCCGATGCTGTACGGCATAACCTCATGAGGCGCCTTAAATGCCTGATTGTAGGATTCCGGTATGTGCACTAATAAAACCTAAAAGTAGCAAGCCCCTTTTACTCGATCATGAAAAATCAAAAAGTGTTGTTTTTTCCATATGTATTTTGTGTCCTCACTTTTGTCCATATTCTATTAACTGCAAGCTGCCCACCAGGCATGCCTCTACTGAAAAAAAAAAATGATGAAAAAGTAAAAAAAACCAAACGAAGCAGAGAGAAAAAGTTTCAACACAACTTTCATTCAATCTTTTGTTAATTGATTTTTTTTTTTTTTTAGAGAATTACTTTTTTGAACCAAAAGAGGTTAAGATATCACCGAATTCTCCATTTCTACCATCAATACACCCAGATAAATTCAGAGTTTGCGGAAAAGTTACATCATCGCCAGATGGAGAGAGAGCGCAACGTTTTGTGATAATTTCAGCCCAATCTGAAATTCTTGAAGAATTAGATGTGCGTTCGAACACCCAAAAGTATTGTGGTTTTCTATCACCTGGCAGTTATGAGGTATCAGTCAAGCTGGGCGAAGTGGAAAGAGCGTCTGGAGTTCAGTAAGCAATTATTTCCCCATTCCTGAATCCCTTTTGGGCTACTTTAAGTATTTCAACATTTTTATCTTGTCAGGTAAGTGTATAGTCAAAGTGCTGGAAAATGTGCAAGTGTTTACTTATATAAAATGGTTTATTTATATAATTTTTGGTCAAAGTTTTTCGGCACAATTGCCATCAACAGGACCTTCGTCTTGAGAAAACAAAATTTAAATACTTTTTTTTCAATTAACAATCAACAACTTTGATATGCTTTTGTTGACTAGGTAAGAATGTAAATATAGATCAGATTTTTCAAGGATTAATCACTGAGTTCAGCTTATCTTTCATACAATTGGTTGGTTGCCAAATTTATTTCCGTTTGGGCTTTTAGTAAACTATAATTCTTTCTTACTACCTTGACAGTTTCGAACTTTTCTAAAACTGTTGATAATTTTCTGTCATTAAAGTGTGACATTTTAACATCGCTGCCGTTAATTACGTGATTTTCATCTTTGATATGCCTATACACATTAGAGGATTTCAACTTTGTACAGGGTGTTTCAGACCACCCGTACCAGGCCTTTTTCTCGGTTGGTTTAGGTCGTACGAAGTCGGAGGCCGCGGGGTTGAATAGGGAATTTACCCCAAGGAATCCGAATTTTGTAGTCCCGAAACCCTCCCACCCCACCTTGGGGGGTAAAGGGGGGGGTCACGATGCTGAAAGTCTCGGTTCCCGACCGAATTGCGGATCGATCGCATCAGAATTGAAAAGCACGGAAAATTTCACGTGGAATTGACCCCTAAAAATCCAAAATCGGACCATCCAAGGCCCAAAAATGATTCCCTAAAGAGGGGGACAGTACCCCCCTCCATAATTTCTCTTTGGTCTCAAAATTGACGTANGGGGGGGGGGGGGGGGGGGGGGGGGGGGGGGGGGGGGGGGGGGGGGGGGGGGGGGGGGGGGGGGGGGGCCCAATTTTAAAAGTCGGGGCTCCTTTCCGAATCGCAAATAGATTGCATCCAAAGTGAGGAGCAGAACACATTTACATCTTAAGTGACTCCTAAGAGTTCTATTTGATCCCCCTGACCGGCAGAAAGTAATCCCCTGAGGAAGGGGGCCTCGCCCCCGCCTAGAATTTCTCAAGATTCCTCAATGGTCGCAAAATTGACGTCGATTCTCCAGAAAAAGACGGTCTCCCATGTAATCGACCCCGAGGAGCTCAGGGAACATGAAATTTAGAGTCCTCGTGGTCGATTACATGGGAGACCGTCTTTTTCTGGAGAATCGAAGTCAATTTTGCGACCAAAGAGGAATCCTGAGAAATTTTAGGCGGGGGCGAGGCTCCCTTCCTCAGGGGATTACTTTCTGCCGTTCAGGGGGGTCAATTAGAACTCTTAGGAGTCACTTAAGATGTAAATGTGTTCTGCTCCTCAATTTGGATGCAATCAATTTGCGATTCGGAAAGGAGCCCCGATTTTTAAAATTTGGCCCCCCCGTTTATTCCCCAAGGGGAGCTGGAGGAGCTTCTGGACCACGAAATTTGGATTTCTCGAGGTCGATTACCTGGGAAATCGTCTTTTTCTGGAGAATTTACGTCAATTTTGAGACCAAAGAGAAATTATGGAGGGGGGTACTGTCCCCCTCTTTAGGGGATCATTTTTGGGCCTTGGATGGTCCGATTTTGTATTTTTTGGGGTCAATTCCACGTGAAATTTTCCGTGCTTTTCAATTCTGATGCGATCGATCCGCAATTCGGTCGGGAACCGTGACTTTTAGCATCGTTACCCCCCCCCCTTTACCTCCCAAGGGGGGGTGGGGGGGTTTCGGGACCACAAAATTCGGATTCCTTGGGGTAAATTCCCTGTTCAACTCCGCGGTCTCCGACTTCGTACGACCTAAACCAACCGAGAAAAAGGCCTGGTACGGGTGGTCTGAAACACCCTGTATGTTCTTCAAAACGGCATGTTATAAACCTCTTCGTTTTGCCAATGTATTTTTTGGTACAAGTATTACATTCTATTTGGTACACTCCTGCGATTTTTTTGTCATGGGATACGTTAGAAAGATTTAAATTAGTTTTTATATACCTGTTGACACTTTTTTTAATCTTGTCCAGAACGTTATTGCTGGTGGACAAAGCAGGAGTGTAATTTGCGTTTTGAAAGTTGCGTTTTATCCACCCTGTTATGATTTTCTTGTCGCTTTTTGTGAGAAGCATTGGTTTTATGCTTTGCAAGAATTTTATTTACCAAGTATCTTGGACAACGGTTTTCCCTGGCTATTTCTTGGATTATACAGGGTTATTCAAAAGTTATGCACCACTGGTCATAACTTTAGTTCTAATGATGATATCGATTTGCGGTTTGTGGCGTCCTTCCTCATATCGAGGGGGAAACTTTTTGAGGTACTTTCCAGTTCGTCGCCTCCCCCAGGGGGAAGGGGGCGGGGGGCAACTCAAAATGTTCAAATGGCAACCCCCATCATGTGATACATCGTTAGAAAGAGCATGAAAAAATAATTTTTTTGGCGCAAACCGGAAGTTGATCTGACCCCCCTATCAAAAGTCAGGGGGGTCCAAAGGTTATTTAGGGGGTCCGTACCTTCATTTTTTAGAGTAGCTTCGGCGGCTCTTGGTCATACCATTTCTCTTTTCAAAGAGTCCTCGAATTCTCCAAGTCTGATACCGAATTCATATTGCCCCCGAGCCACCACAGCCGCACCGTAAGGGGGATGAGCCTGTTACAATGAAACATCGCATTAAAATGCGAAAAGTCACAGAAGAGTTTCAAACTTAGCATCAAGTCCGAGTGGAACTTCTTGCCAATGTTAACGCAAACGCAGCCTGCGACCTGAAAGTGAGTTTTCAAAACTCTGAGCCCCCTGCCCTCCTCATTTTTGGTTGTAGAGCGGGTAAAAACCGGGAAATTCACTACAAATAATGCCCGAAACTAGTGTCCAACTAGAGGAGGACCCTTGAAACGTTGTGATCAGTCGGAGCATTGAAATACAGGGAATGCCACCCCCTTCAAGTACGGAAACATCCAAAACACCCCCGCTGCCCCCCTCATTTTTCGTTGTGGATCGGGTAAAAACCGGGAAAATCGCCAGAAATGATGCCCGAAACCACTGTCCAACATGACGAGGACCCTTGGAACGTCGCGACCAGGCGGAGCATTGAAATATAGGGACTGCCGCCCACTTTAAGGACGGAAACATCCAAAACACCCCTGCTGCCCCCCTCATTTTTCGTTGCGGAGGTTGTAAGAACCGGGAAATTCGCCAGAAATGTTGCCCGAAACTGCTGTCCAACTTGACGAGGACCCTTGAAACGTTGCGACCAGTCGGATCATTGAAATACAGGGTTCTTACGCGGTTTTTAATTGCTCCGCAACGAAAAATGAGGGGGGCAGCGGGGGTTTTATGGCTGTTTCCATCCTTAAAGTGCGCGGCAAGTCCTGTGTTGCAGTTCTCCAACTGGTCTCAACGTAATACACTATTTTATCGACCTCTTTACATTCTATCTGGAGTATGGCATTACTTCTCTACATGAACGAGATCTAGGTTGTTGTCAGCTATTGTTTTACTTGGCTTATTAATACATTTATTACAACGATTTTCTCTCCTTATCATGTTTCGAGGCATTATTTACATGATCATTTTTATTTAGAATTTTGTTACAGTCATTGAGAAGCATGGTCCTCACTTTTTGTTGATCTTGGTAATGGATAGTAGATATAGACTTTTCAGTATTTAACAGTAAGTTTACATTTTTAATTTTTTGTTGTAAATTGAATTTATTTGAGTTTTCGAATTGGATATTCTCTCCACTCGTTATTTTAATTTTACTTAAATTTATGAAGGTAGGGGCAAACTTGTGTGTGTGCGCCCATCCCACGAAATTTTTGTGCTGTTCTGCGATCAGCCTAATAATCTTTTTCTAACCTTTCTCCCTTTCTTTATCAACTATCGACTTGACTTATCATATCAAATTTACTGTAGAAAAAATAATTATTAACACTTAATGGGCCTGTTGCAAGGTGCGGGGATTTGCGAATTGATAACTGATTCCAATGGCAAATTTCCCAAAAAGAAGATGGCGCTACTGAAAAAGCTCAAGATGACCTCTCACACTCAAAAAAAGCTGTTTTTGGAACCGACTCATTCGAAGCGGTCACTTTTACACGGGAACGGATCCGGTACACTTGTTACATCACATCTCATGACAAACCCGGTTTTTTTATCACTTACAATGTATTTTCCCATGAGGAATTGGCAGCCGCTTTTCAATTGCAAATATTGAGTCAATCATAGATTTGTTGACCAAAATGGAATTCAGAAATGGATTCCTTGGACGTTTAGATGGTTAAAACCTTCATGGGATAAACCCTAATTTCAAGGAAAACTGAAGTCAATGGGCGATTGTTTACATCTCCTGTAGTGATAACAGAAATGGTGGTTAGCTCAATATTTAGCCACTTTCATGAGTTTTTACTTTTCAGTCACTATTTGAAGGTAAGTTTTTTTTTGTTACTCAATTTTTTAGTACCTTAGGATCATGTTAAAAGCGGTAATGGTACGCATTGTTACTTATTAATTCAGAACACACTCCGGCAGTCCAACGCTCAAACCATGGAAGTTCTCTCAGTGCGTGTAAAGCATTCTTAACTCTTCAACAAACATCTCAATATCATTCAGAACATTCCCACGTTTTGTAAACTTATGTTACTTTAAATTCCTCTGTGTTTTCAATGTAACACTACAGGTACAGAAAAATTAATCGATAAGTCTGGTAACCAAAGAGAGATTCTACGTCTACTTTCCTTGCCTCCAGCTAAAACATACCGGTCTCCTCATCTCATCAGTATTGTCAAAGGTAAGTTTTTTTTTATCATCAATGATTGATACTATCATTTTGGTGTCTTCAGTGGAACATCGAAAGGTGAAATATCAACAAATAACAACTGGCTTGCTACATCCATGTTTGAGCGTTGGACTGCTGGAGTGTGATCTGAATGAATTT